TTTTATGAGTTCGGCAAATAACCGATGCATTTATGTACATATTATCCTATCATATTAAGAAACACCTTATGTTTCGATTACGACTAATATTATAAAGGTAATTAAATTACTTGAGGAAAGATCTGAAATTGACAGGTCAAGACTGCGGTTACGAAACAAAATAAGGATTATTTTCCGCTAATATGATGTGGAAAGATTATATTAAATCAATGGGTAGGTCTGCTGCTAGAAAAGATGGTTCACCAGAATCTGTCTTTCACATTTATAAGTTTACCATTCGTCAATTGCAGTCACATCTGGCTTGGTGCTTCTCCTATGTATTTAGTGATTCTTAACAAAGTACAAATAATCTGCAATATTATTGGTACTAACCTTGCATCGTGGCCTCAGTTTCCGCTTGCCGTAATGTCACTTCCCGTTGCCTTTTCTATAAATATTTTCATGGTAATTGTTCTGATGAGGTTCCGTTTTTGGTCTCCAAATGATTTTCACAAGGAGAAAACTGAAAATGTAGAATAACGCCTGCACATTCATTTTCCTGAAATGGTTTTTGATGCCGACACCATGGCAGGAAGAATTCATAATCAAATTTTCAAAAATTTTACTCCACTCAAGAAGTTGCAAATTTTGTTTGTTTTTTTATTTCATTTTATTATTTTCACGTGTTTTTCCTTTTTGTTTGGAAGATCACAAACACATGACATGCTGTAGCTCGAGCTGGTCCTGCTTCTGTCTTATTAATTCCTGTTCTTTTATTGTTTTCTTTCTTTAATAATGTTTCCTTTTTCCTATATTTTCTCATATTCAGTAACACCTTGCACACATTACTAGATTGGTAGTTAGGTCTCATAATTTTACTGCTGAAATTGCGAAATGTAACCGTTAGTTCTATTCTAATAGTTTCTTCTCTTGCAGTTCTCACCTATGGAACTCTCTTCCGGGTTTTTGCATTCCTTTCAACTACAATCATTAAAAATTTAAATGCAACGTCAGATGCCATCTTTTGCCTCCTTGAATCCTCTTCTTTTTATTGTCCTTTTTTCTCAGTCTCAGTTTCTTTCAATCTTAATAACCCTTTGCGTCTTAGTGGCTTTTTCAACTTTGATCTTCCAGAATCTAAATGTAATATCAATCGTTATCTTAATAACGTCTTTCGTCTTCTTAATTCATGTTCTTTTATTGTTCTCGCTCCATAATAACGGTTTCATTTTCCCATATTCTCTACACTCAATAACCCCTTGAACATTAGTGGCTTTATTTCCTTGCTTGAAGTGAAATGATTATAAAAATATCTTATAATAAAATGCTAAAGGTGTATGCTCCCTTTTCTTAAAACTCTTTCAAACTCTGTTGATGTTGACGATTGGTTCGTTAAGGATTCGTTCTTCAAACAATTCATTTTGCGCGTTAAGAGTCACTGTATTTCATTATATATTCTTTTCCTCTTTTCATTTCACTACACATTTGGATAGCGAAAGATGTCGTCCAAAGATCTAAGCGAAATATTAAGAAGCAGTGACATTTCATTGGAAACAAAGAAAAGAGTACTGATCTGGTATATAATATCGCTATTCCTATATGGTAGTGAATGATGGTCCTTCTCATCACAGATGGAGAAGAGACATGAGGCAACAGAAATTTCGTTCTATAGAAGGATGTTGAGAATATCATGGACTGAACCCGTGAAGAACGAATTTTTAGAGAAAATGGAAACAAAAAGGACACATAAATAATATCAGAAAAAGACAGTTGAAATTTCTAAGACATATAATGAGGAAAGCAGGCTTGGAAAATTTGACACACAGAGGAAATATGGAAAGCAAGAGGAACACTGGAAAGCAGCAAATAACCTGGATGACGAGCTTTTGTAAATGGATGGCAAAACAGGATTTAGAAAAGATAGAATAAAGACAAAACTCACTAAGAGCTATAAAGGACAAGAAATTGTGGAGAGCCACGATCGTCTACGTCCTGATGCAATACGACATATACAAGGTGCTCAGTAAAAAAATCAGTAAATTCAGAAAGACGTGAGACAACCGTTGAAAACTGGTGACGACTGATGTAACTGAAAAATTCAGGAAGAATTTCTGTACATTTCCTCAATGCCCTCGTCGGATGTTCTTTGAAAAGTACGATAACTTGACGCTCAAAATCAGTGAGCAGTTTAGCCTTACGAGAAGGGCAGAACGAAAGACGAATGCTGTCTTCAAATAACCTTTAAATGACGATTCACAAGATCGAGCAGTAATTAATCATAAAAGAACCAATCATTGTTAAGAGAGTTTAATGAGTATTCAAGGTCATGAATATTCAAGAAATTTATTCAAGGTTATTCAAGGTCAATTATTCCTGAAAGATAAAATTTACCGCTTTTTTTTTTTACTGGGCTCCCTGTAGAAAAAAATAATCTGCTGGTTCTAGAGAGAGATAAAGTTACAAGCTTTCTCAATACTACAGCGCCCTCCTCAGTATTCTTACATAGTTTTTAGGTTTTCAGGTTTTCATTCGTTCTTTTCGACATTTTTTTAAATGGTGAGCACAACTCTTATTTTCATAAGCTGCAAAATATGTTTTCAGTTCTCTGACGATTTCCATATTTTACCCCTGTTTACAGTTTCATTCAGGATACTGTTGTGACAGCGGCATCCACTTCTTCTTCATGTTCTGTGTCCCTTCAGGACGTAGGCGATAATGAGTCTCCACAAATTCCCGTCTTTTGTAGCTCTTAATAAATTTTGCCTTTTTGTTATTTTTCCTAAAAACTGTTCCGCCATCCATTTATTCAAACTCACTATGTTACGTGTTGTTTTCCCCTGTCGCTCTTCATTTCATTCTTTTCTTGTGAGTATCGGATTTTCCAAGCCCACCTTCCTCATTATGTACCGAAGAAATTTCCACTGTCTCTTCCTGAAGTTAAGTTTAGTACAAGTTAATTATAAGATTCCTTTTCTTCGTCGTTTCTCACTTGTTTGGTCCATGGTATCTTTGGCGTTCTTCTGTAGAAGCAAATTTTTGTTTCTTCAAGTTTCTTCATCTTTGACGCGATCGTACAGTGCGTAGGACAGCTATCATGTAACAGTTCAGTACTCTTTCCTTTGCTTCTAATATAGTTTTACTATTTCTTAATAATCCACATCTACTTTCTTTAGTTTCAATGGCGATGTGTTATCTCTTGGCTTGCATTAAGTACAGAGTTATCAAATTGGGCGAATTTTGAATTTCACTGTTTGCGACTATTTC